TATGGCGACGAACGTTCGTTATTTCGTCCACAGCGGCTCATGAGAAAGAGTTCATCTCTCAAATGCCAAATGCTGTCGATAAGACCTGTTCTCCAACTTACAGGCGGAAAATGGTAAACCGAGTACATTAGACCGAGTCGATAATATTTACATAACTCAAAAATTCAGAAGGCCAATGGAAGACATGTGAACTAAGTGAGGGGTTGACATAGCTCCAGATCACCACCTGGTTGTGGCCAAGATCAAATTGAAGTTAAGGAAGCAATGGACGACTGGGAAAGCAGCATCAAAAAAGGTTCAATACAGCCTTCCTTCCTTCGAGGTACCAACAAGCTCAACGAATTCAAGATAGCTCTCCACAACAGGTTCCAAGCCTTACAGGATCTACTGAAAGAAGAAGAAACGGCCATGGAAAACCACTGGAAACGGATTTAAGAAACACTAACCTCAACGTGTCAGGAGTTGCTGGGCCACAACAAGCATCACCATAAGAAATGGATCTCTATGGAAACCCTGAACAAGATTCAAGAAACGAAAAACAAGAACATTAGAGAAAGTGGAAGCACAAACTGAATGCACAGAAGCAAGCAAGCAGGTGAAGAGGAGCATTAGAGCTGACATCGGAAATGGGGGGAAGCTGCAAGAGAAGGAAATATGAAACAACTATGTGACACAACAAAGAAACTAGCAGGGAGATATAGTAAACCAGAGAGACCGGTCAAGCACGAAGAAGGCAAGCCGATCACTGAGATCCAAGAACAGAGGAGCTGATGGGTAGAGAACTTTGAAGAACCCTTGAATAGGCCAGCCGGTTTACGAAAACCTCTACATCTGAGGGGTAGCACGGAATACAATGGACAGCTTGGATGCAACTAACGATTCGGACTTCGCAGACGACCTAGCTCTTCTATCCCATACACATGAAAACAACTACAGGTCAAGACGACTAGTGTGGCAAAAGCCACTGCATCAGTAGGCCTCGACATACACAAGAGAAAAAACAGGATCCTCAAATGCAACACGGAGAACACTAACTCAATCAAACTTGATGGAGAGGCTCTGGGAGAAGTCGGAACTTTCACATACCTGGAGAGTATGATTGAGGAACAAGCAGGATCTGATGTAGACGTAAAGGCAAGGATTGGCGAAGTAAGGGTAGTATTCCTACAATTGAAGAACATGTGGAACTCAAAACAAGTGTCAACCAATATCAAAGCCAGAATCTTTAGTTCGAACGTCAAAACAATTGTGCTGTATGAAGCTGAAGTGTGGAGAACTTCAACCATTACCAAAAATGTACGAGTATTTATAAACAATTATCTACAGGAGATACTGAATCTCTGTCGACCGGATATCATCAGCAACAGCCTACTGTGGGAGTGAACAAACCAGCCTCGAGCTGAAGAGGAAGTGAATGGGACATACATTGTGAAAATAATCAAACTGTCTCACGAGGCGAGCGCCAACTTGGAATGCTGAAGAGAAACGGAAAAGATGGAAGCCAAATAACACACTGAGTCGAGAATTGGAAGCCGACATGAAAAGAGTGAATAGCAACTGGGAACACCTGGAAAGGACTGCCTAGGACAGATTTGGGTGGAGAATTCTGGTTGACGGCTAATTCTCCTCCACGAGGGGTAACCGACGTATATATATATATATTAAGTCATACGAAATTATTATTGTGATTGTGGTGCTTGTATGCACGAAACCACAGGACCCCGTGTGAGTTGTGGGTTATAAAACAATATTTACGGATTAGTTTAATTACTACATTTCTGTTCGGGGGAACAATGAGTGAACACGTACCAACTACTCGGACTGTTAATAAGAAGATTTAATGTCACATAACATGTCTCAATACTGCTTCCATGTTTGGTTACTCACTTCTATATAACCAAAGAAACAAATTAGTTATGGTGCACCCTGATTTGCTGTTTCTTATGCAGTCAGCACTTGTCGATATTTGGAGAAGACTCTAGAGTCTTCTCATGTAAAACTATACATATACTAACATTTTTCTTATTGTGCTTCTTACTTCCATCTACCCTTTTTATTTGGAATATAATTTTGTTCCTGTTCAACCGTGTTCTAATTTGGGGACTTGTCAAGTAAATTGGTGTCCAAGACTAAGTAACAGGAATAGCTGGGTCGTAATAAGAGAAAATTATAACAGTAGTATACTTCTCAAAGCTAATTTATCTGTTAGGGCAAACATAGTAGTCAATATGTTTTTTGAATGTGGTAGCAGTGGAGATAAGTCTTATATCATCGTCTTACGTTTTAATTTTTGACAACTTTTTTCACTAGAGATGTTTATAATGCTTTTTACCATCACTATCTCTACATATTCGGACTGCATTGTCTAGGTTTATAGCCAAAAAGCTGTTCTTTTGAGAATTTGGGTTTAAGAATTATAAATCGGTATTAATGGACTCCATTTTTACATATGTAATAAAATTTAACAAACAGGATGAATCATTATATTTTTTTTAACAAGTATGACAGTTTTCCGAACATTCGGTTATTCAAGTTCAAGTTGGGATTCTTATCAGTCCTATATACTCCTTCAGAATCCTGTTGAATCTAGTGTATCTGACTGGGACTTAGGCATCAGAAGCTAATAAGATGCTTTACAAGTGTGGTCTTAATACGTCTGTACACTGTGCCAATAATTTGCGCTACTCCGACCTAAATATTGTTAACGGAACTTTCTTATCCTCTCTATTTTTCTGCTCGCTAACAGAGTAAACACAACAGTTTTGGAGATTAAGCTTTTTGATGTTAATGCAGTGTAATCATTTAAAAAAATCATTAAGTTTGTCAGTTGTTTTTCAATGGGAAATAATTAGACTATATGAGAAGAAAAATCATCGTAAAAATCTACTGAAATCCCGTAAACTATCTTCATCAGTCTGAATAAGGGTTTACTGAAGTAGAATTTTAACCTAATTGACATTGATTTCCACCGGATGAACTGGATAGCCTAGTTGATTTAGCAATGGTCCAGACGATTGCAGAGCCGAAAAAATAGATTTTTGAAATCGTCCCAAACACGGTTCTACTGCGGATAATTGTTGATTATTTGAGTTTAAAATTTTTGGGCTTTAAACACATATATAAAGATCCACGGAAAAAGTCGCGTGGTATTTTCAGAATCGGCGATTTAAGCAGACTAAACGATGAGCCCGAGCAATCATTTAAATGACCTTTAAAAATTTACGATCCTATTTGGCACATTTGCGTTATTGATTCATAGTGCCAGGACTAAATAGTATTCCCGAGACTTAGAATTAGGACTCAGCTTATGACATAGGATTCCTACTTGGTGTTAGGAATTGGGGCTCAGGCTGCAGTCAGAATTATGGGTTTGGTTCGAGTTTTTTTAGGCTTGTGAGTTACAGTTGTGGCTTAGCACTGAAGTTAGGTATCTCAGTAACTTTGCCCGTACTCCATTCATGAATCTAAACATCACTCAACTTGTTACCTGTGACACTCAAAGATATTTCCTCCGTCGATCACTGTCTCTACAGAACCATTCCACATGGAAACCCGGCTTTGATAAACAGTTTATTATTCCCAAATTTATGAGTTCTGGAAGTCAATTTTCTCCATATTGCTGTTAAGTAACTAAAAGATTTCTAATCACCTTTGTCTGAAAATTATTTCGAAGTGATGACGGGTATAGCTGACTTCATGGAAAACAGGTTCAAAGTACCAACCCGACAACTATAAGAGGAACATGTGAACTGAATGTTATTTAACTGGCTGGACAACGAGAAGATCGACCTTGCAAACGTACCACTAAAAATCCGTCAAGAATACTAATTATAATGCAGTTAGAATAGATATAGAAATGATGATTTAGGAGGTCGAGTAGTTGAGATAGGAAAATGGTACAAGTTTCTCCAGAATATCCCTCTCCAAACTTATATTTAGTGTCTGAAAACTCTTTAGTTGTATGTTTTTTACTAGGAATGGACTAGTCATAACTGGTTACAAGGTCTAGTCACACGAGCATAGCGAAGAGGTTACATCAAGAAAACTTTCAATAACTGGGTGGATTCTGTGCTTTCCACAGCAAAAAGTACATGAAACATCATTAATGTATCTTTACGCAATTATCTTCTCGAAAACTGATACGTTTGAGTCTGGCAGGTATAGTAATATAAATCAACTGGTTGCCTCATATATTTCGACTGTCCCATAAAAACACACTCACTGGGTGCATGTTGGCTTAAAGCATCTGATAGAGCTGAACATCAGATCGTATGCCACGAAACAAAAGTCGCTAATAATACTGAATGTCTTACGGAGGTGATAGCAGACCATATATTGGACGTTCATAAGCCATTAGAGTTTACTTAACTTTATTTGATCGGTTTTCGGAGACAAGTTTAGCGGCAAAAAGAATAATGATTGGACTCTTTCTCTCATTGCTCAATCACGATCTATATGATGTTGATTTTTGTGCGCTGGTGTATTCAGGTGATTTATGGATATGGAAGATTTCGGAATGTAGCTAAATCTTAATTTTTAACGACCTGGGTAGTGACATATGTCTGGTTGAACGATAAGCGGTGCTCTCGTAATACGAATAAAGCCAGGATATTGATGTTAACCAATTGCGATACATTCATGATCTTCCTTCAGAGTGAATTCAGTACCACACTTTCTATCAAACAGAAGTGCATGCGCATCTCCATATGCATTAAATGATGTCTCTTCCATTGACACTTAACAATAAGTGATGCATACTTCTTTCTGATCCTTTCAAAAAATTATATAAAACAATCCCTTTCCCTATGGTATACACCTCACAAGTATTCACACTAGGCTATACTCAATATGGAACACTAAGCTACCGCAAAAAACTCATGATAGTTAATGATACCGAAAATGTTTTTCACGCCGCAAAGTTAATTAGAATAATCGTTCAAATTTAATTCCTTTCCATTCAGAAAATCCCAACTGTATCACTGAATTTTGTTTTAATATTTGCAGTGTTCATTCGCTCTTGTGCAATGGTTGTTTGTTTGAAACAGTGACAAGGTAAAGAGCGCCAGTTAATTGTCACGTCAAGGATGGCTCCGACTGGAAAGGCAGTAACGGGATGTAAAAAGGCTGTAATGTGCACTTTTGTCACATTCTTATGTTTTTAGAAAGCTTTGGAGTCCATTAATAGTTGCTTAGCTCTGGTGATGAAAAGTGGTAAATGTTCTATTGGCTTACGGCAAACTCTTCGTCTCTTGCGCAAAGGAGGAGCGAGATTAATAATTATTGCCAACAATGCTCCTCCATTAAGGTATGTTGGTTTGCTTCTGTCTGAGCCCAGTGAGGGTTACGAAGACGCATGAGATAACCTTTCTATTAGATATTTCTAACGGAATGTTGTTAAATCCTATTTAGGAAAACCGAAATAGAATACTACGCAATGTTGTCGAAGACTGGTGTTCATCACTATAACGGAACCAACCGCGATCTTGGAACTGCATGTGGGAAATACTACAGAGTAAGCACTCTGGCCATTGAAGATCCAGGTAAGATCTCCTTAATTCAGTATATATTTCCTAAGGTGATTCTGACATCATCCGTTCTGCGCCACACGAGGCGGATACAAAGTAATAACCTAATAAATTTTCTACGAATCTTATGTCTTCTCTCTTGGAATTGGTGACAGATAAGTAATGTCAAACTTATTTTACCCCTAAAACGCGTCTTCAGAAAATCGCAGGGTCCGTTATTATTTAAAACCCTACATATATACATAATGCCGTCATAAAATCCGCATGATTCCGTCCTGTAAGGTTCCTAACAAGTTTTTTCCTACACTTCCCGCTGTTCAAGTTAAGATTTATTTCGAGTTCAGGACCGCTTATTCGCATGCTTCTACATGAGAGGGTACAAATGAAGCTTTTTAGGAAAGTATCGTAATGATGCTGTGGGATGTCCACATTTTTTATGTTGGTCAGACCACGAATCACTTGGTCTAGTCGAGTTGTTCGACAAAACTGCCATGCATGACCTAGTAGTGCTACTTTTAGGTTGGTGGTTCTCCCCGTTTAGTCCCTTAATCTTGTGGACCCTTGAATAAGGGGTTGGATACACTAGCCTACACAAGGAGACTTTTAATCATGGTTTTTGAGGCCTTTACATTTTGTCCATACACGTCATGATTGAGATTTCGGCATAATTACGCTGCTATGCGCGAGGTTAGATGCAACTTTCTGAATATTGATATCAATGTTATCCCATGCAGGGCAATTGCGTCCCGGTTATGCAAAGGGGACGGTCTGAAAGGCTGATAGGACGGACGTTCTAGTTTTGAGTTAGGTGAACTATCGCAGCATAGTGTAGGTGTGAGAACCATCCACGTTTCGGCGACTAAATTGTCCTATATGGCAGATGATGGCATCCAAGTATACATGGTTTTATAAACGGCGATGGCTATCTACACGTAAGACCATTTGGTCTTACTGATTAATCCTAGGAGTCCTTTGCGTGCATGAGCTATTGTGATAAAACAAAGCTAAAGTCTTGGCATACGTGGGCTATAGGGACGGTCGACAGTGTACTTACAATAGGAAGTATAAGTCACTAGCCACCTTGTCAGTGTACCAAGATATGTATATGTTGACGTCGCCACAAAGAGGTTAAACAGCTAATCAAAAGTGGGGTGCATACAATTCATAAAAAAGTAAAAGAATATTGTTGCTAATTAGTGACTTTATACCTACAGGAAGGAATTTACTGAATAGAGAAGGGAAATTAGGACATATATTGTAAACAACGCTGGAAAGAAGTATCAGACAGTACATAAAATCGCCGTCGAAAAACAGTCGTCAGAATAGGGTACGAAGTTTGTATTAACTGATAAGTTATGTGGGGGAATCCAAGTTTTTTTATATGGTGTATTGTGTGGTACTGCTTCTAATGTTTAGCCAGAAAGTTGTTTCAAGTTCTGTTCATGTAGATCTCAGAATAGAGGTTCCAGGTTATCTCCGGCAACGTCGACGAATATTCTCCAGGCTGTAATTTTACTAACTGGCAATACTACCGCTAACCTTAAATGCTGTTGACTTTAGATTTAAGCTTTGAGGTAGTGTCTGAACTCCGAAACATTCTAAATGATAGTTTGCGTTTCCTGAGACAACACGACGTGCTTCTTGACATCCAGCATCTGGTACTATCGGCCTTCCACATGACGCGCATCTCGGTGCGTAGCGTTTATGAAAATCAGTAAGACAGTGTAGTCGACCATGAACATCAATGGTAAAAGGTCTAGAATCTAGTCTACCTGCGCATACTACACAGACGAAGCAGTTGGGATGATAGGGCATCCCAAGAGCGTGAACTACTCTGTCACCTATGGGTCTATGGCAGTTTGAACATGCCTCAACAGCCCCGTCACGTACACAGGCTGGGCATAACAAACGTCTTAGATTGTGATAGTAAGCATCGGACTTCAGCGGAGCAGCACAACGATAACATGTAAAACAAGCCACATGAAGTTTTACACCTAAAGCTCCTGTTAGAGTCACAACATTGTTTGTCGAAGCTAAACTGCCACTAAGTGTGCTACCTTCCGGTGGGACAAGTGAACGACGACATCGAAAACATATGTTTTGACCCGCAGTTACATTGTTCATTGCGCTGGCATTATCATTAGGATGACACATACTAGAAGCTGATTCAGTAGGTGAGTTTGTTGATGAGCTCCCAGTTGTTGAAGCAGAAGTGACCGTCGTTGCCAATGGACTACCTCGACCACCATTCACATTCCCTCCAGCAGTGGATGTAAGGCCTGAGTGCTGTTGCAAACGTCCAAACTGAGAGTTGAGACCACTCCCACGCCGTAAACTCCCAGCTATTAAGGGGAACAGAAAAGACATATAGGTATATCACAAACAACATACGAATCCAACTACGAAGAACGTTACATTATGAGAACTATTCTGATCGTAATTTCAAAATTAAATACCAACATTCTAAGCAATCGATATCAAGGCTGACAATTTTTCTAACGTTTAAAGATAGGTTAGTTGATTTCATGTGAGCTTTTATTTCAGCTGGCAATTTTGATTATTAAGAGATGATCACCTTTCTAGAATTTCATATTTACAAAAGTTGTCCGTAAACCTGAATCTTAAGTTTTATGTTTGCCTTTAATCGCAAGAGCGAGCATACCAGTTACAATGCACACTGTGTAGGTATTTAAGTAACACACAAAGCGCTTTTTTAGTTGACATTCATTTGATATCTTGTCCTTGGGATAAGTGGAGACCGCTCAGGTGGAAACATAAAACCACGTAGTTCATAACTTCAGCATTTTATTACAAGAGTCCGAACTCAGATCAGTATGCAGTGATATGAAGACACAAATACATCTTACTGATGAGTCCCAGCAGATATGAAATATTGATTAACCCCTTACGACTAATTACCTGATAAGGTGAGACACTGATTACTTGGTTCCAAACTGTTTCGCTACATTTCCCTACCGCTGAAAATATAACTTTAAAATGCTCTATCATTACGAAAAAGTAAGAGTTGTTTTGAACAATAAAGTTAGACTGAAATTTTGTAGCGATTAGTGAATCTACTCTGGGCTTCTCTTCTTTTAGAATTTTCAGAACTCTGATTTTGTTAACATTTTAATTGTCAATTCTAATCTTACGTAGCTTGTTACCTAATCTTATCATCTAATTTTTAGGACACCGTTCCTGTTAATTACTTAAATTCACAGCTAACCAAAACATCTATGTTTACAACCAATTTCAATTCCTATTCTTACTGTTATGTAACTACCTGTAAAATTAAATGATTATAAAGAATCACCATAGTTTTAAGTTTTCAAAAGTCGTGTCACTAGTAATTATATTGTTGAAGTGACTGACCACTATCTAATTGGTATTGAATTTCTACTCATTAGTAAAACCTATATATTAGTGTAGAGCCCCTACAAACAACGAGTTGAGAAGCAATATTTCTTCGTTCGAACTGTGTTTTTGACTACCGAACAGTAAGAGCAGAAATTTCTTGGCAAATTTATTCATATAATCATGGTGGAGAACGCTACATAATATGATTGATAAAAATCAAAAGGATACAAAATGCATATCTGTTTAGTTGAGACAAAATGTCTATGAGATTATCAAATGATCGAAATGCGATAGAATTCAGTTAAATTCTGGAGCTTGGAAAATATCCCATTTGGTTAAAGTATTTTTTAATGAACAAAGAGAAGATATATGTCCCCGATAAACAATAAGGAAGAGGTAAATTAGTCGCTTTTTGCTGCTGATTTTGAGTTCTTATATAAGGAACCACGAAGAAATTAAGACTATGGAACATATATTTTTTGTTTAAAACTAACTATCAGCCCTGAATCCAAACTTAATAGATTTAAACTAAATCTACTGCAAGCTATTAAGTTTTAAAACATCCATGGAGTGCATCATTGACAAAGTCAAGTGCTAGTGAATGGTCGCAGAAACGTTTCAGTCAATCAGTCAGCTACAACGTAGGACCAGGCACATATGTGCATCGGTCCAGGTTGCCATACCGCATTAGCACAACAAGATGGACACCGGATTCATAAAAGTAGTTAATTCAGAGGTGGTAATATATAAAAGAAAGATTGCGATAAGGATATAGTACAGGAAGAAAGAATTAGTACGTAGAAAGAAAGATATGAAGCGATTTTAACCTCTTAGTTTAAGGGAAGACAAAGAGTGTATACACCGACGCCATTGTGATCGGTTCTGAGCCATATCATCAAGAGTCTCTAACCATTGGTTACGATAGTCACGCGGACCCCAACCAAGTAGTCTGCATCTACCAACATGGCTCAGACTAGAGGTTAGTGTCTTCAAGCACTGATGCCACGTTTTGGTTTGGCCGCCCCTAATTCTCTTCCAACGATCTCTAACACCCGTTAGCATTGCACGACGTGGTAATCGGGGTTCAGGTATACGCACCACGTGGCCCAACCATCTCAGTCGATGAAGATTCACAACCTCATCAACTGATTTACCATCATTACCTAATACCCTGCTTCTAACCTCACTATTACTTATCCGGTGATCCCAGCAGACGCTAGCAATATTTCTAAGGCATCTGTGGTCAAATACTAGTAGCTTAAGAGCATCTTCTACTCTTAATGGCCATGATTCGCTGCCGTAAAGTAAAACAGAACGGACTGCCGCGCAGTATACTCGTCCTTTTATTGATAGACGGATATCTCGCCTTCGCCATAGGTGACGTAAGTTGGCAAAAGCCAAACGTGCTTTTCGAATCCGTGCTGAGATTTCGTCAGACACCAACCCATTAGGGCTAATCAGACTTCCAAGATAAGTGAAGTTGTCAACGCGTTCGACTACTTCACTCCCTATCCTTAGTTCAGGTGTTGACGCAGACCAGTCCTGAAGCAACAACTTGCATTTAGAGGGAGAGAAGCGCATCCCAAACATTCTGGCATTGTTGCTTAGTGCTACCAAAGACTCTGCATTTTATCAGCGTCTTCACCAAACAGGACTATGTCATCTGCGTATTCTAAGTCGATAAGTGGACCTCCTGGATGGAGATCAATACCCGAGAATTCAGTCGACGAGAATGTTATTTCCATCAATAGGTCTATGATGAAGTTAAACAAAAATGGAGAAAGTGGACAGCCTTGACGGACACCACTTGAGGTTGCAAAAGCAGATGACAGTTCGCCATAAGCTCTGACTCGACTGATAGTGTTCGAGTAAAGAGCCTTCACAAGGTTTATGTACTTCTGAGGTACGCCTTTCAATGACAGACACTGCCACAGAATCTCGCGGTCTACGAGTCAAATGCTGCTTTTAAGTCAAGAAAGACCACCATTGTCGGACGCCGATAAGTATGCCTGTGTTCTAGAACCTGACGAATGGTGAATATGTGGTCGATGCAGCCACGACCAGGTCTGAAGCCAGCTTGATTTTCTCGTGTTTGCAGTTCACGAGTCTTAGTTAGGCGTCCGATAATTATCGAGGCTAGTATTTTAGATGCTATATTAGTTAAACTAATCCCTCTGTGGTTGTCACAGGATGATTTTGACCCTTTCTTATATATTGGGACGATAAGTGATTGCGACCAGCCAGATGGAATAACGT